GATATCGATAATGAGATCGATGTGGTGCCCCGAAGTGCCCCGTGGTGTCCCAAAAAGTGAGATCGATAGTGAGGTCGATCGTGAAACCAACAGGTGTCCCGTGGTGTCCCGTGGTGCCCCATTGAGTGATATCGATAATGATATCGATCGTGAGATCGACGTGGTGTCCCGAAGTGTCCCGTGGTGCCCCATTGAGTGAGATCGATGGTGATATCGATCGTGAGATCGAGAGGTGTCCCGCGGTGTCCCGCGGTGTCCCGTGGTGTCCCGTTGAGTGAGATCGATAATGATATCGATCGTGAGATCGAGAGGTGTCCCGCGGTGTCCCGCGGTGTCCCGTGGTGCCCCATTGAGTGAGATCGATAATGATATCGATCGTGAGATCGAGAGGTGTCCCGCGGTGTCCCGCGGTGTCCCGTGGTGTCCCGTTGAATGAGATCGATAATGAGATCGATGGTGAGATCGACAAGTGCCCCGTGGTGTCCAGCGGTGTCCCGTGGTGTCCCCGTTGAGTGAGATCGATAGTGAAATCGATTGAATCGGATGGTGGTCCCCCCCCCCTCCCCCCACCGCAACCTCCCTATCACCCGAAGGGTGGTCGTATAGGTAGAAAACAGCGATGGAAACGAGCTGAGGAAACGGAAGCGGGAGAAACGGAACAAAACAGCAACCAGCGAGGCCAAAACAAGAGACGAAAGGGGGGGAGACGAGGAAGAAGAAGGAAGACGAACAAGCTCAGCGATTCGCACTTGAGATGGTGCTCGAGACGGTCGAGACTCGGGGATCCACAAAAGACACAAGGCTGAACAGGATCCGAGAATCGCCCCGAGCAGCACCATCCGTTCACGAGTGTGCGAAGGGTGGAAGCAAACACGCGCGGGGGGACGCGCTGGGCGATCCGAACCATCGACCAAACGAGGCACTGCAACATATTATCGGTGCGTGGCATCAAACTTACGAATGCGACGACCAAGGGCGCGAGCGGCAAGGATGTGTCCACCCACCTTCAGAGCGGCAGTGGTTTTCCTCTGGAGCCCGCGTTCAGGGGTCGCAGGAACGCCTGGGATCACGGAGAGAGCTTCAAAGGCGGTGAGCATGCGAATACGAATCGAAGCCTGGGACCACTCATTCTGCCGAAAAGCTACAATGCAGTCGTTGTCGTCGGCCGCCGACGCAATGAGATCACGCATGCGAAAGAAAGCAAGAGACGAGACGGCGCGCCCGTGCTGGGCAGCCCGAAGCCCCCGCCCGAGACGCCGCACCTCCACGGGAAAACCAGGCCGGGAGAAGGGCCCCGGAAGGTCAGGCGTGAAGGCGTTCCTCGGGGCCGCACGCAGAGTCTGACGCGCGGGGGCCTCAAGTTTCAAGACGCGGCCGCTCGGGCGATAGAACGGCCCGACGTGCAGGAAAAAGCAACAACATTGATCGCGTCGCACGAATTGCGAGTCGGCCCCAGATCGAGCGCTCGGATCGCACGCGCTCGAGCGATGCATTTCGAGCCTGGTGGGGGCCAACTATTCCGGTCGCCGTCGCGCCCCAGGGACAGGCCAAGACATTGACCGCGCGAGCCGAGGATGCAAGACCCGAGCGAAAGGCCCTAATGTGCAATTGCGCCTCGGACTCGCCCCTAGGAGGGCACTCGACACAAACGACCTGGGCGCATTTCACTTTAAGGCAGAGCCCGGCAGCTTCCGCGGCAACTACAAAGACGGGGATGCCACGCACAAGGGCACCATTCACATCGGCAGACCCGGCTCCCACATTGTCGGCGAGAGCCCCAGGAACGGCGAGGCCCCTGGGGGGCCGAGACCCCAGAAGTCCGAGGACGGGATCAAAAGCGAAGGCAGAAATACTGCCGCTTAGCGGGCAGCCCTGTTCGACGCCCCTCTTGGCCAAAGAGCCAGCCCCCACGTCCCCGCCACAGGAGACCTGGATCCACTGCGATGCGGCGCTTTCACGGCGCGACGAAAACCCTCGGGAACACCCATCACCGGGAGCACCCAGTGGATGAGCTCATGAAAGAGAGAAGGGAAGGCGGCGCGCACGTCGTAGAAGACGAAGCCTGTCCGCCCGAATCCCCATCTATGCATGCCGCGAGAGAACCCTGCCCTCCTACGCGATGATGTTGCATGTGCCCTGCCTTGTGGGAATGAAGCCTCGTTGCCAATCGACGACGCACGCCTGACATGCGTATCGAAGAGTTCGATTCAGCGCGATAGAAACCAGTTGGTTTGCAGAGTCGGAGAGGCAGATCGGCCTCGTTGCATCCTCAATCCGAAACAGCACCCCCCCAAGACACCCTCAAGCACCAAACCCTTGGCCAAGATGACCGCGATAGCAGCGTTGAAGACGTCGGGAGAGGCGCCCGAGAAGAGCTGCCGGCAAATCAGGCAGAGCGTCCGAAGCCCCAAATCACCAGACCGAAGCCAACTGGAATGCGGCAGCCCATCTGGGCCAGCCGCGGCGCCCTTGATCCTGGCGAAGCACTCGACGAACTTTTCGCGGCGCAGTTCCCATTCCACATGCCCGGGTGCTCCTTGCAGGCGCGGGGCAAGCTCGAGGAGGGCATCATGGTCGCACCTCCTTTCGCTATGGACCTCCCCCCAGTGGGCAGCCGGGCGATCGCAGACTTGCTTCGGGCCGGTCACTTTGGCGCCCGAGGGGTCAGCGACGCTGGCCAAGGAAGTCCCCCGAAAAACCCGAGGGGCGCCGCGCCGAACAGCTTCCGCACGGCCTGCAGCGCAGAGCCGCCTTCCGAAGGGGGGGCAAGTCCTGGTCAGCTTCTATTTCGCGAAGACGGGCCTCTGACCGTTTTGTCTGCAAGCCCCCAGGACAACGCTGAAGACCAGGAAGGCCGATCCACAAACCAGACTGGCCATCGCAGAAGACCTCCAGGGCAGGAAAAGCTCGAAGGGCCCGACGAACCAGAGCCGAATCCACTCTCCGCATCGCACGGGGAAGGGCCATGCACCATGAGATGCGCTCTGCGTCTGAGTCCGCCCCGCGCTGCTCAGGACGCCCCAGGGCCAATTTCGCGGGTGCCCTAAGAACGTCCCGAGAGACCGCCCAGCGCTCATTAAGATCTTCGAGGGGATCGATGTCGGCGAAAATCTGTGCGCGAGCCTAGGTGCGCGCGATGCTGACCCAACTGGGAACGCGAAACAGCGAGGCCGTGCCGTTGGCGGCACACGCACACACGCAGGAACGTGATCCGAGAGCCCCGATATATCCGCAGCGGACCCAAGAACCAGACTATTCGGGATGAGCCCAAGCAGGTCAGCAGGCAACATGTTGACTAGGATGCGATCCAGACTGGCCAGGGAAACCAGCTCCCCTTCCTGGACAACGCGGCGCGTGGGCTGGCCCTGGGAAATTCCCGCAAGCCCCGAAAAGAGACGAGCGCATCTTGACGCGAGAGACTGCGGCGCAAAGGCGACCCCCCCCGCACCCACCCCCGCCCACCCCGCCCCCCTCGCAAGAGATGTTGTAGTCGCCCCCCGCTACGAGCAAGGCCTCCGACGGCGGCGGGGACCAAGCCGAAACCCAAGTGAAACAAGACATACTTCTGGGTCATGGCGCGGTCTGGATGGCCGCGCAAGCTGCTGACTCCGATGCCCCCCGAACTCCTCGACGCGGCAAGCGCATTGAGCTCGACCGGCGGCGATGGCGCGACGACGGAAGCGAGAGAAGCGCTGAGCAAGCGCAGGATTGACGCAGATGACGCGGCCCCCTCCTCGGTTGCCCACGAGGCCGCCAAACTCGGACACCAGGAGATCCAAGACCACATCGGGTTCCACGGGTCTCTTGCCGGAGAACAGCGCGGCGCCTGCGGAGCAGACGTGCGGCCTGCGTGCTCTCCCCGGCGGCAGGGCGACGACGAGAGCGAAGACGGCGGACCAGACGATGGGCATTCCAAGATACGATAAAGAGATGATCTCGCACCGCGCGCGCGGGCCGCGTCGCGCAGGCCCCGGCCCGACGGCTCCGACAGGTCAGAGACGCTGGTGGAGGACGAGGAAGTCGCCGATGAACTCGAAGTAGAGCCCCCCTTGCATAAGGGCGAATCCGACGAAGAGCCGCCAGAAGTGTCGCATTGTGGGCGCGCAGCGAATTTGAAATCATTACCAAGACCATTGCCACCAGCACAAGCAGAAGACGCAGATGAGACAGAACAGGAAGACAAAGGGGCAATGGGAGAAGTCGCTGCTGCCGCGCCCATTGCAGCTCCAGCGCCCAGAGGAAGACCCGCAGAAACAAAACCGTGCTCAGGGTGACTTGCAGCCCCAGCGTAACTTGTAGTGCGAGGTGTAGACCATCGCGGCATCGCTTCCCGCGCGACGGCGTCGGCCTCGCCCCGCAAGATGCCATGGTGCTCGAGAGCCACATAGTCCATCTCGATGTGCTTTTCGTCGCAAAGCCCCTCGACCAGGGGTGCGATCGCCTCCGCGTCGTGCGATGAAGAGGGGGGCCTTCTGGGCCGTTGACGCCCATACTGAAGCCCCCCTTCCAGCTTCCCAGCTGCTTCATGCGGGCGAAGATTCGCTACCAGAGCCTGCCCATGATGACCTGCTCGGCGCGGACAGCTCGCGCGGCATCCATGCGAGCTCTCAGCGGCGCGAGAGGCTTGGCGCGCGGGTCGGTCCACAAGATCCCGCGCTGCCTGAACTAGCCGGGCGCCTCGCGGGCCTGCTCAACTGAATCGAACTGCACCCGCCAGGTCTCCAGGGAGACGCGCGCGGGCAGAGAGGCCAGGAGCTCTTCGCCACGCGCGGCGAACGTCCTGGCCAGCATGCGCCGCCGGAATCCGCCGATCAGCTTGGACTTGTCGGCCCCCTCCTCGCCAACAGAGGGGGTAATCCTCGCGCGATGCCGATGGAACGAGGCCCATGCTGCAGCAGGCGGCGGTGCCAGCTGCTGAAAAGCCGCGACCTGCTGGGCCAGCGCCGCGACCTGTTTTTCCAACTTCTTTAAGCCCGTGGAGCCCCGCCTCCGTGCGGATCCATCATGACAGGCAGCTGGTCAATGAGCTCGGACGTGAGCGCGGCCACCCGCCCGTCGAGCGCAGTGAGCATCGCGGCCCCCAGCGCGTCCTCCAGCGCGCTCATGCACGAGTCGACGTCGTCCATGCGCGCCACGAGGAAGGCCACCTGAGTGTCAGCCTTCTGAATGAAATCCTCCAACGCGGAATTCGTAACCATGTTCGAGTTGATGATTGCCACAATCACAAGTATGCGATCGGCCAGCGGCCCCTCCTGCACAGGGCAAGCAGGAGGACGGCCTTGGTGAGAAAGGCCTGCCATAATATCACGAGCGGCCTGCTCGCCATTCTGGCCGACCGCTCCGCCATCATCGTTGATCAAGTCGACCACGCCGCTGTCAGCAGCCTCATCGGCGTCGAGCGACATGCCCAGGCCGAGGTGAACAGCGGCGTCAACCTCGCCGTCGGAAGGGGCGAGCGGCGATGCAGGACCAGGCGGGTTCCACAGGTCTCGCTTCTGAAGCGGGTCGGCGCGCCCAGGCTTCGGAGTACCACAGCGGGCCTTGCCCAGGCTCTTGATCGCGCTCCCCTTGCCAGTGGAAGCAGCAGCAGGCGCCATCGCGGGGTCGAAAGGAACGGCGCGAATCGTCCTCCCTACCGGCCGAGAGCACACGGCCCCAGCGCGCGAGCGAAGCGGAAGTCGCAGCCGCCCAAGGCGAGGCACGCTGCGAAGGATCGAGGGAATCGATGGAAGCCCGCTGGGGCGGCACGCCTCGAGCAAGCCCCTCGCCTTGAGCCAAAATGGATACGGAAGGAAGAGGAAGATGAGGAGGAGGAGGAGGAGCACGAGGAGGAGGAGGAGGAGGAGGAGGAGGAGCAAGAGGAGGAGGAGGAGGAAGAAGAGGAGGAGGGGATATTTTTCCGCCTCACCGCAACGAGCCCCGAAGCCCCAGGAGTCGTAAAAACTGGAAGGCCCAGCCAGCAAGAACCGCCCCTCCCCTCCATGGAGCTGTAGTTTCGAAAAGGGCTTTGCAGAAACAGCGGGTCGCATGGACAGCAGCAGCACCAGCAAGGAAAAGGAAGCAGGCGGCAAGGAGGAAAGAGGAAGAGGCAGGAGAAGCAGGGAGAGAGGCAGGAAAGCGAGCGAGAGAGGAGGCAGCAGAGCAGAAAGGAAGGAGAGCACGGCAAGCAGCGCGCAGCAGCAGGGAGACGTGAGACGAGAACTGCAGGCCACTTGAAATCCAGAAGCTGTATCAAGAAGCGCGGATAACCTGCCCCGCAGGCAAACGCAGCGGCATTCAGACACGGCCCACGCCCATATCATCAGTGGAACCCGCGCGCTCACGCGGCGAGAGAGAGAGAGATAGAGAGGAGAGGAGAGAAAAGACGACGGGAGACGAAGGGCGGCAAACAGAGCAGATAGCCACGCAAGTCGAATGAAGGACATATGTGGTAACATGACAAACGGGTCGTGGTGCCCAGCGCTCGACCAGGCCGCTAGAGTGCAGCGATCGCTCGAGCCAGGAGCGGCCCCCGGAGGGTGCGGCTCACTGGGTCGGGCGGCAGGGTGCGAGCCAGCCAGCCCCCAGATGCAAACATCGGAACGCGCCATTGGGGGGGGGATAGGAAGCAGAAAAACAAACCCACGGAGGCTCGCCACAAGGCGCACTGTAGACAGGCAGGCTTAAGAACACGATGAAGTATGCTAGGCGGTTGTCCAAAAGCATGCAGCATGTGCCTCACGCGGAGGTCCGCTTCGAGGTGGTAGACCTGGTACTCGAGGCAGCCAGAGTCGGAGACGCTGTCGTGTAGCCGCAGACGCTCGACGCGGCGCTGGAGTCGGAGCAGGAATCGAGGGGATAGGAGCTGGAGTCGTGTGGATAGGAGCCAGAGTCGGAGATGCTGTCGACTGGACCTGGAGCTGGGGTCGGAGCCAAAATCGTAAGATCAGGAGCCAAAGTCGGAGACGCAATCCACCGGAACTGGTAATGTACCCAGACCAGGAACCGTGGGGATCGGAGTCGGAATCGGAGACGGCGATGCTGTCGTCCGGACCGGCTGCTGGAGCCGGGGCCGGAGTCGTAAAGAAGGGAGCCGGAGTCAAAGACGGAAGAACTGGCGTCCAGACCTGGTGCTGAAATCGGAGCCGAAGTCACACGTCATAGTCGAAAGTAGCCAAAGTCGGAGGCCCTCGTCCGGCCCTGGTGCCGGAGTCGAAGCCGGAGCCATGGGGATAGTAGCTGGAATCGGAGACGAAGGCTTTCCCAGCGCGGCCTGGACGGCCGTGTCTTGAGGCAAACGACCCGCTCCATTCCTCCGCGCACGGGGGGAGAGGGTTGCGCAGGATGGCATATATCTACGCGTTGCAGTCCGAGCCAGTGGCAGCGATTCCAAGCCAATCGTCCTCCAGTCTGGGGGGAAGGATTTGTCCGCCCACGTGTTGTGCCGAAGTATGCCCAGAGCTGCAGAAATTCGACGCAACGAACATACATGTCACGAAACTCGGCTCCCCTATTCTCTGTGAGATGCGGATGCGTTTCGCGAACGACTGGCCCTGCTCGCTGCAGTCGGGTGGTCGCCCGGACCAGGACGCAGTCGCGCGGACCTGGTGCTTGAGTCGGAGCCGGAGTCGCGGGGATAGGAGCTGGAGTCGGAGACAGAGACGCTGTCGACCAGGCCTCGCACTGTAGTTGGCGTCTTGGCGTGTCTCCGATGCTGCTGTAGGTGCCGAGATTGGTGCTGGCGGAGGAGGAGGAAAAGAAGGAGGAGGAGGAGGAACAGGAGGAGAAGGAGCATAAGCAGGAGCAGGAGGAACAAGGCCTTTCTGGCCCCAGGCCCCCGCGCCGAGCGCCGGAACGGCTGGCCTCAGCGCGCCGCCGCAACGGTGGCTGCGCGCGTACCCCGTTACCAAGAGCAAGACCTGCAGGTTGAACCTCAAGATCCACAGGCTGAACCTCAAGATCTTTAGGCTGAAACTCAAGGTCTACAGGCCGAGCTTTTCGAACCACCAGTGCTACGAATTCATGCCACCATCTGTGGAGACCTACTGGTAGACGACATGCCGAGACTGAGAGCAGCGGCAACTTTCAAGCGGATGGGGTACTGTGTAACACACGGGCTCCAACCAAACCAAAGACATCATGATCGTCACCACTGCCGCCTACAACAACAAGTACACCAAGTGCGGCAACAACGACGATCCTACGACGGCGGAGTTGACGGAGGTGAAGCCCTACGCACAGGCAGTAGCAGAAGACAGGGGACCCTGACTACAGCTTCAAAGCCTCCTGCGCCAGACGTGAAATATATCGTCCTAGGGGTACCCGCCCCAGACCTGTACGACTTCCCGTACGGCGCTTTCAACAATCGCGACCACGACCAGCACGACCAGTACGACCAGAAATGATGCCACAACTGGGGCGCGTACTACTACGAGGTTGGTTCGCCCTAACAGATGTTTAACGGAAGCCAGCCTGCCAAGCCTCGAAGGCCATCAGCTGAGCTACGACAGCAATAAGCAATGCTTCTGCGCCACTGGTTGGGCTTTGAGGGCCACCAGCAGAGCTGCAACGGTAAGAGGGAGAGCTGCGAGGACCACAAGCAGAGTCACTAGGGCCACTGGCAGGCAACCTGAGAGCGGAACACTACGACCTGGCAGCCGACGACTCCGACTTGGACCACGGGGAGTCGAAGGAAGCATACGAGAAGGCGAACAAGAAGGCGGACGAGGAGGAAGACTACGAGGAGCACGATGGCTTAAGAGAAGGACGACACAGAACTACGAGGGCACCCTGCCGAGCTACGAGAGCCACCAGCAGAGCTACGAGGACCACAACCTGAGCTACCTGGACGAGGAGCTAAACTTCGAGGTCCACAAGCAGAGCTACGAGGGCAACCTGCCGAACTTCCAGGGCCAAAACCCTAGCTACGCGGCCACAAGCAGAGCTACGAGAGCCTCCCGCAGAGCTACAAGGGCGACGAGCTGAATTGCAAGGGCCACGAGCAGACCTTCGAGAGCCACCAGCTCAGATATACGAGGGCTATCTGCTAAACAACGAGGGCCACAACCTGAGCTATGCGAGCCACAAGAAGAATAACTACGAGAGCCTCCAGCAGAGCTAGGAGGGCGACGAGCCGAACTGCGAGGGCCACGCTCAGATCTTCGAGTGCCATAAGCTCAGCTACGAGGGCCACAACCTGAGCTACGCGGGCCGTCAGCAGAATTACGAGCGTCTCCCGCAGAGCTACCTGGACGAGAGGCTGAACTGCAAGGGCCACGAGCAAACCTTCGAGAGCCACCAGTAGAGCTACGAGGGCCACCAGATCAGTTACGCGGGCCGCCTGAGGAGCTACGCGGGCCACAGCCCCAGCTACGCGGGCCACAAGCAGAACTACTAGAGCCTCCCGCAGAGCTACCAGGGCGACGAGCTGAACTGCAAGGGCAACGATCAGATTCTCGAGAGCCACCAGCCCAGCCACGAGGGCCACTTGCTGAACAACGAAGGCCACAACCTGAGCTATGCGGGTCACAAAAATAACCACCAGAGCCTCCCACAGGGCTACCCAGACGACGAGCTGTACTGCAAGGGCCACGAGCAAACCTTCGAGAACCACCAGCCCAGTAGCGAGGGCCACCTGCTAAGCTACGAGAGCCACAACCTGAGCTACGAGGGTCACAAAAAAGAGCCACCAAAGCCTCCCGCTGAGCAACCTGGACGACGAGCTGTACTGCAAGGGCCACGAGCAGATCCTCGAGAGCCACCAGCTCATCTACGAGAGCCACCCGCTGAGCTACGAGGGCCACAAGCTGAGCTACGAGGGCCGCAAGCAGAACTACGAAAGCCTCCCGCAGAGCTACCAGGGGGACGAGCTGAACTGCAAAGGCCACGAGCAGACCTTCGAGGGATCGCTGCCCGTGATGCAGTCCAAGGCAAGCGGGGCAAAGATTACTACGACTGCGTCGTACTGGATCCGCGCGAACAGACGCTACCCGTCCGGACAGTGCACAGTGCTGCAGCCCGACGCCCCCATCGAGCCCCATGCGCTTCCCACCGCGGCGCGGGAACGATGACAGCGTCGCCCGAAACTTCATCCGCAAGAAAACGCAACAACAAAATGAGACGGGCAAACCTTAAACAGCACTGGCACTTCACTCCCTTATCCGGAGTAACTGATCAAGAACGCTCCGAGACTGCTGCCACGGCGAAGCTACGGTACATGGTACGTATGGGTGTGCGGCACCCTCCCCCCCCCTCTGGAGAATGTCCCCCGGTGGCGTCCGGGGGGGGGGGCCCGCACTCGCGCTGGGCTGGCCGCCCACCCCGCCGGGCGCCCGCGGGCACGCGAGCGCGGAAGGGCACGCCCGACGGCGCTGCAAGAGAGGAGGAGGAGGAGGAGGAGGAGGAGGAGGAGGAGGAGGAGGAAGAAAGGAGGAGGAGGAGGGGGAGGCGGAGGAGGAGGAGGAGGAGGAGAAGGAGGAGGAGGAGAAGGAGGAGAAGGAGGAGCAGGAGAAGCAGGAGCAAGACAGCCGAACTGCGCTACCAACTACCACGAAGGAAAACACTGGGTGCGCGAAGAGCGCCGGATGCACAACCGTGGGAGGACCTGCGGAACAGCGAA